GTGATTGGCTGGCCTTGTCTGAAGCCGGCTAAAGAAATCTGCATCACCTGCTTAGTTGGGAAGCAACATAGCGAGTCCATGTCAAAGAAAAGCACGTGGAGAGCATCTAAGCCCATTCAGCTTATACACAGATGTATGCGGTTCTATCAAACCAGCTTCACACAGTGGCAAGAGGTACTTCTTGAGCTTTATTGATGATTTCACTCGCAAGACTTGGGTCTATTTCTTACATGAAAAATCAGAAGCCTTCACTATGTTCAAGAACTTTAAAGTGAATGTAAAGAAGGAGATGGATGCATTCATAACATGTCTGAGGATAGACCGTGGTGGCGAGTTCAACTCAAGAGAGTTTCAGGAATTTTGTGTCTCAAGGGATCAGCAGACAGCTAACAACTGCTTACACACCACAACAAAATGGAGTCTCAGTAAGAAAGAATAGGAGAATCATGAATGCAATTCGATCCATGCTGAATGAGAGACAAGTCCCTAAAACCTTTTGGTCTGAAGCTGTTAGATGGTGTGTGCATACTCAAAATCGAAGTCCAACATCAGCACTTGAGAACAAGACACCAGAAGAAGCATGGAGTGGACAAAAACCAGTGGTGGAGTACTTTTGAATCTTTGGGTGTATTGCTCATGTCCACATACCAGATCAAGGTAGAAGTAAGTTGGATGACAAAAGTAGAAGGTGCGTTCTTCTTGGTGTCAGTGATGAGTCTAAGGCATGGAGATTGTATGACCCGATCTCAAAGACGGTTATAGTCAGCAAAGATGTTGTGTTTGAAGAAGAAAAGGCATGGGACTGGAATAGATCCGATGAAGAAATAAGGAAGGATGTGTTGGAGTGGGAAGATGATGCAGATGAGCAGAACGAAGAACTTGGTAATGGAGAAAGACTAGCCAATGTGAGAAGTGATCCAAGTCTTCCATTAAGCTCGCAGGTTGTGGCATCACAACTAGATGACACAGACACTGAAGATTGTGGTCTTATTGGAGGAAGGAGAATGCAAGAAAGAAGAGCACCAGGATGGATGGCTGATTACGAGACAGGAGATCCTTCAGAAAGTGATGGCTTGAATGCTATGATGATGATGATGATGGCAGCAGAGATTGATCCTATCTCATTCACGGAAGCAGATAGGCATTCAAGGTGGAAGGAAGCAATGAGGTCTGAGATTGAATCCATTGAGAAAAATCAAACATGGGAGCTCACTGCACTGCCTAAAAGGATTAATCCGATGGGAGTAAAGTGGGTATACAAGACGAAACTCAATGAAGATGGAGATGTGGAGAAGTACAAAGCAAGACTTGTAGCTAAAGGATATGCACAATGTTATGGTGTTGACTACGCTGAAGTGTTTTCCCCAGTAGCACGGCTTGATACTATCAGAACAATCATTGCGACTGCTGCAGAATTTGGTTGGAATGTGTTTTAACTTGATGTGAAGAGTGCTTTTCTGCATGGAGAGCTTAAAGAAGAGGATTTTGTGCAACAACCTGAGGGATTTATAAAGGAAGGGGAAGAAGAAAAAGTCTACAAGTTGAACAAGGCTCTTTATGACCTTAAGCAAGCTCCAAGAGCTTGGTACAGCAAGATTGAAGCCTATTTCATGCGAGAGAAATTTGAAAGATGTCCCAGTGAGCACACATTGTTGACAAAAACGAAAGGAGGTAAATTCATAATTGTCAGTCTCTATGTTGATGATTTAATATTTACTGGGAATGATAGAGGCATGTGTGATAAGTTTAAAAACTCAATGATGCTGGAGTTTGAGATGTCTGATTTGGGAAAGATGAAGCACTTTCTTAGAATAGAGGTGAAATAGTTTGAGAATGGGACGTTCATATGCCAAAGAAGATATGCAAAGGAGGTGTTAGCAAGGTTCGAAATGGATGAGTGCAATTCTGTGAAGAACCCGATTGTGCCTGGAACAAGACTGCATAAAGACGATGATGGTGCTAAGGTTGATGAAACCTTGTTCAAGCAACTTGTTGGTAGTCTCATGTACTTGACAGTGACCAGACCTGAGTTGATGTATGGTGTCTGCTTGTTAAGCAGGTTCATGGGTAGTCCAAGAATGTCACATTGGCTTGCTGCTAAAATAATTTTAAGGTATGTGAATGGAACTACAAGTCTGGGAATTTTCTACAAAATAGGAGATGGTAATCTGAAGCTGGTTGGGTTTACGGACAGTGACTATGCTGGTGACTTAGATGATCGCAGAAGTACATCCGGGTTTGTGTTTATGTTGGATTCTGGAGCTATCTCTTGGATGTCGAAGAAGCAGCCGGTTGTTGCTCTCTCTACCACCGAAGCGGAGTATATAGCTGCAGCATCATGTGCGTGTCAAGGAGTCTGGCTCAGAAGAATCTTAGCAACAATTGGGTTTGAAGAAGAAGCAGAAACAGAGATAATGTGTGACAACAGCTCCACCATTCAGTTGTCCAAAAATCCAGTCCTTCATGGAAGAAGTAAGCACATTGAAGTAAGATTTCACTATTTAAGAGAGTTGGTGACTAATGGAGTTGTGAAGCTGAACCATTGCTCGACGAATGAACAGACTGCAGATGTTTTCACAAAAGCGTTGAAGTTAGAACAGTTTGAGAAGCTTCGTGCAATGCTTGGTGTAGTTGACATTGGTGAAGTAAGCTAAGTTCAAGGGAATTTAGCTTAAGGGAGGGATTGTTAGCATAATATGGAGTTGAATAAGTATTAAACGTGAGTCAATAATGTCCTAGTCTTTCGGGATTAGTTGAGTAGAAGTAGCAGTAGATTTGTTTTCGTATTTTGCTCTGTTTCTGTTGCTTTGTAAGGCTATTTAAAGCCATAGCTTCTTATTGAATAAACACACGTGAATTCCTAAGTCTGTGTTTTCTACATTAAGACTTCACCATCAACCCTAAACAGAACCTACTATGTTCTCAAATCGCTTTCTTTAGAAACAGAAACCCATAAAGTGAACATTTTTACAAATCTCAAATGAACCCAAAGCAACAAAAGAGTCATCTTTTTACCTGTCGCTAGAGAAATCGTAAACCTTGCCGGTGCCGGAGAAGACGATGACGGCGACCTTGTCCACAATCGACGGTTCACATTCTTAATCTTCTTTATCTTAATCCTTCCTTTCCCCATCTTCAACAATCAATCTGGAAAAATCAGAAACAGGGAAAACAGAGAGAGAGATGGAAGTGGTAAAGAGAGAGAGGAGAATTCAATCGAAGGTCAGAAAGAGAGATTGGGAGAGGATGCCACGTACTTAAGGATTTGATCCTTAAACTCCTTATTCAAGGATCAATACTTGGCTCACGAAATTGTTTTGTTATTTTTAAATGGTCATTTGCATATGTATTAAAGCTAAGGATCCCTAAAGCTAACGTTTAATAATATTCACTAACTAACCAACGAAAAGCGAAAACATCCAATTTCGTAAAGGTTAAACCACGATTTCACAAAAAAAAACCATCGTATTGTGATCTCACGTACCCGCCGTATATGCTAATATGCATGTTGTTATCATTACAGTTTTTAACTTAACGCACATATATCTTCTCTATTAAAAGAAAAGTACCAAATTTATATACTATTTAAAAGTCATATTGGACTATGTCATTAATTATTTAATTTGACATATTTGATTGTTACATTAACCAGTCAAGTATATATTATCTTCAAAATATCTTAATAATTAATAAGGATATTAATAATAAATAAATTTAAATATAACAAAATCTGTTGAAAACAAATTATATATTCTTTTTATAAAATAAGTATTTCTTTATTTCGTTATTAGATATTATTATAATTAAAACTAAAATATAAATCATATATTTAAAAATTTAGTTATATATTTATAAAATGAAAAATATATCCGCACGGATGTGCGGGTGAAACTCTAGTTGTATAATCTATACTATTATATAAGAAGTAAATTTGCTTATTTGTCAATTTCTCCTTAATTTCAGGTAAATTTGTTTATTTACCTTATTTAAATAATTTCATATACAATTTATTATTTAATAAAAACGAATTTATATTAATAATATTATATTTTAGAAAATATTTATTTTGTATTAAATTTTTATATTACAAATATATTTATATTATAAAATTCAAGTGAATTTACTAATTGATTTGTGACGTCTCCATGATTTTTTTAACTTTGCTTATTTGTTATATTTTTAATAAATTATGAATAATTTATCATATAATAAAAAAAATTTCTATTAATAATATTAGACTTTTAGAAAATAAGATAATTCTTATGTATTATATTTTTATCTTTAAAATATATTTTTAAAAAATCATAGAAATTAAAAATTAAGTTAAAATATTAATAGTTAAATATTAAGAAATCAATGCTTATTTATCATATTTTAATAATTTCATATATAATTTATTAAATAATAAAACAAATGTATACTAATAATACTATATTTAAAAAATAAGATAAATCTTATGTATTAGATTGTTATCTTAAACATATATTTTCTATTAGAAAATTTAAGTGAATTATCTGATTTATAATTTCTCCATGATTTATATATTTTGATTATTTGTCATTTTTTAATAATTTCATATAAAATTTATTATAAAATAAAAACTAATTTCTATTAAAAATTATATTTTGAGAAAATAAGATACTTCTTATGTATTATATTGTTATCTTGAAAATATATTATTTATTATAGAAATAAAAAATAAAGATAGAAAAAAATTATTAATTAAATAAATTAAAGCAACACATTTGTAAAAATATTTTTTTAAAATATTTTGTTATGTGAGTGTTGTCATTTATAATTAATTTTAAAACATAAATCATAACTTATTATATTGGTTTGAATTAATAAAATATAAACTAATAATAAATTGTACGAAAATTATGCCCGCATGTGCGGGTAAAACACCTAGTATAATTGTAAGGTATACATACATGCACCAATCCAATATAATACTCTAGAGTAACGTTCAACAAAATTCACGAACTATCCAACGAAGAGAGATGGCGAGTAGTAGTTCGTCGAGTTATGGGATTGAGCACCTTCAAAAAGAATGTTACTATGAGTGGATGAGTTTACAAGCCAAACACATAGTTGATCTCAAAGAAGCACTCATGAGCCAACGATCCAATGACGATCATTACCTACTCGAACACCTCGTTGGTAAAATCATCAACGACTTCCAAAGCTATGCCAAAAAACGATCGGAGCTGGCAGACCGAAGCTGTTCTAGCTACTTTGCACCATCCTGGAACTCTTCTCTAGAGAATGGTCTTCTATGGATGGGAGGATGTCGTCCTTCATCTTTTATTAGACTTATATACGCTCTATGTGGATCCCATGTTGAAACTCATCTTTCTCAGTATATCCTCGAAATGGATGAAAAGGTCGATGATGCGCATGTTGGTGATAGTTCTATGAGTGATCTCACGGGGACGCAGCTTGAGAAAATCAATGAAATACATATAGAGGTGATAGAGAAAGAAGATAAGATAACTAAAAAATGTGCAAATTTGCAGGAGGATGTTGCGGATATGCCAGTCGCCATCACGGCCTTCTCGAGGGATTGGGTTGAAGCTGACGTGGCGGTTGAAGATGCTTTAGATAAGCATGAAGAGAACATGGCTGGTATAATGGTGGAGGCTGATAAGGTGAGGCTAGAGACGCTTAGGAGTATTGTGGACGTTTTGACTCCGGTTCAAGCGGCGGAGTTCTTGCTCTCCGGGAAAAGATTACAAGTGTCCTTGCATGAATGGAGAAGAGCACCTGCCGATGCAGCAGCAGCAAGGGGCGGAGCCGGGAAGTCAAAGAGATCGGCCACTTGTTGATATGTGAGGGTGAGTTTTGTAAGGTTTGATATATAAACTTGTATTATATTTTGGCCTAAGTGGAGATGAGACATGTTAAGTGTCTTTAGGTGTGCGTGAGAAAATGTTAAGTGTTAGGTGTGTGCTTGTGTGACGTATCTACGCTTTTGCTTTGTATTATACAAGGAATAACAAAAGCTGTAAAACGTCAAGAGACTACTTTTCTTTCATTACGCATATACAAATAAGTTGTCTAACAACGCCACAATTAATTTTGTTTTTCTTTGCAAACTTGATTTTCTTTTGCCTTGATTGATTTTTGTGTGCAAATGTCTATGCTATTTTTATATGCAAGGAGTATTTTAACTCTTAACTGTAATAATGGCCAAGCTTAATGGATACTTTTGACAGACGATACATTCAAAGTTTGACATATTTCATTAAAAGGTAAAATCCTATATAAGTCAAGTGGATATTGGGAACTGGTATTTTGTGAAAGTTAGGTTACTGGCTGTTGTTGAATCTTTATAACATTTGAATATTCCTTTTCTTTAGATTCCGTATCCAAAGTAAAAGAATAAAGCATATGAACATTAGATATATATACAAGTGGGCAAAAAGATGAGGAGATATTTATGCATCAAACAAATCAAAGGACTCGAAGGTTCAGTGACATGTTCGACTCCGGAATGATGTAAACAGATACCGTGGCAACTGCACAACTAGTTCCCAACACGTGGTCAGCAAGAATGGAAAAGGACTAACACAGTAACAAGGCTTGGTTTTTCTGTAGATAAAATGTATGCCACCTTCTACATTTTCTTTTAGATGAAATTTATATTAAACAACCCGCGCGACAACGGGAAAATAGTTTTGTTTACATGCAATTTCGAACAAAATTACTTAAGGCGAAAACTAAGACCATCTTTATCGGGGTTAATTTAACCTGTTTCTTGAATTAAATATGATTAAAAGAAAATTGAAAAAAGAAGAAAGCAGAAGAGACAGGTTATTTGTTGGCTGGCGAAGGATTATATATTGGTGGACGCGTGTCAATAAACGAGAGGGTGGTGGATCGGTTACCCGTTAAACGCGTATCAAAATTGTTTTTCTCTATCTCTCTCTTTCTCGAATCCTCTCGACGATGGTGATTTGTTTGGCGATATGATCGATGATGCATGTGTTAGAGCCTCTTCTTGTTCTAATCGGTTGAATCTATCTTTCAGTGTGTCTCTTCGACGGCGACGGAGCTTTCCCGCGGTGACTTTAATCAAAAGGTACAGTTCTTCTATTGTTTCATCTTGCATGGGATTCTTTGTATGTTTAACTTGTTGTGATCTCAATTTTGATTTGTTTTTTTTTGGTTTATTGGGTTCGATTTGGTGTATCAATGGCGACGGAGCTCTTCTCATTTCTTGACTCCAACTCCATATAAAGCTCAAAACTTTATCTACCGTACCGGTGAGTCTTACACATTCTCATTTACCTCTCTTCTGGGCTTTTAGTTTAGTTCCCGAAAAAAAAATCATAGGAATTCACTCTGTTATTTGATTAATTCGGATTTGGTTTTGGGAGTCAGTTGCTGATAATATGATATGTTGCTTATATCTATGATGTTAAACGATGTTTGTCTCTGATTCAAAGTTTAAATCTTTCTTTCTTTTTTTTTGATAGCATGTATCATTCTCCATAATATGATAGTAGAAAACGAACGAGATGGATACACTCTATCTAATGTTTCAGAGTTCCAACAAGGAGAACACATCGGAAGTTCACATGTCGATCTCGATTTTCAGCAAGAGATACTTTCAAATATCACCAATATGATAGGTGTTCGAAGAAGAATCCGTGATACACCAACGTATCATCAACTGAAAGCTGATTTGGTTGAACATGTTTGGCTTAAATATGGAGGTCTTGATGAAGACAACAACTGATCTCGGATGCATCTTTCAAAAAAATGTCGTTTTAGTTTAATAAACTTTGTTTTCATGTTTTTATTTAAAAATCAATGTCTTAATTATCTTTTATTATGTTTTTATTAATAAAATTTGTTTTAATTTTAATATAAAATTTTTAATATTGTTTTATTTTGAAAAACTCTCAAAACAAGAGACTTACAATGGAGACATAAATATATCAAGGTTCTTCACTAAGTCTCTTCACCTACTTTATTCCTTGTAAACAATATTAAAATTTAATCAAGAGACCCATTAAGGGTACGTGGGATAAATATGGTCTAATACTCGTGTCACGAGTTTCTAGTTATGTGTGTGTTATTGGTCTTACATTTTCTTTTGTTCACTAAAAATATATATTGAAGGGAATCGAACTTGAAATATTGGTCTTTCATATATATTCAATAAAATAGATAAAAAAATGCATGTTGATTATATTATTTTAGACTACGCTAATATAAATTAACAATTCAATAAAATTTAAGATAAAAACAAAATTTTAAAACTCTTAAGTAAATATATAGTTATTAAAATATCATCTATTAATAACTATATGCATTTATACATGTATAACTAAGATAATTATTATATTTAGTAAGAATGCCTAAGATTACTATAATAAGGTTTGTAAGATTTTTGAACCTTGTGAAACTTTTGGTGGTATATCAAAATGAACAAAATAATCTCAAATGATGCATCATTTTAAAAAAATATACAATCAATAAACCAAAAAACCATTTTTAGAATTATTTTCAATCATAACATTACCTTATTCAATGTATTATTTGAATTAAATGCAAAACATTTTTAAAACAAAATTTTCACATGTTTTGTTAAATGTAATCCCTTCATTCTTCAAAGCCTAATTATTTATATATCATATATTATAAAGGATTAATTATTATTATAGACACGATTATATTTTAATATGAATATGAAATATCGATGACTATAAATTGTTGATTCGTACGCTATCACTACTTTTACAAGTACAAATTTGAAGTCTGGATGGCAGCAAGAGTTTTCGAGAAAGGTATACTATTGCACAGAAACAGAGGAGATTGGTCATTCATCATTTCATTGTGTAACAAAATAAACTCCAAATAAAGAGATATATAAGTTGTTTGTTACCCACATCCAGAAGTAATAGGTTTTATGAAACGCGTTCTACCAAAGAGAAAACACACAATTTTAATTACAAAATGAAAGAACATGTCGATGTGTGATTATTCATGTTTCTACCTGAAACAGTGAGAAATGGAGAAGATGGAGAATCGGTTGTGGACACCCATACCAAAAGTATTTGAAGATGTAAGATGTCCGCCCTGAAGTAGTCGCTAACGTAGTTGCTGAGGCAGACGTCGTGTTGAGTGGTGAAAACCATGTGGAGTCAAGATGCTGAGCTGGAGTCGTGTAGACTTGGAGAAAAGGCAAGAGGAATAAACTTGAGGAGCAAGTTTATGACTTAAAAAAAGAGGAATAAGTGCATTTCACGAAAAAGAAAGTTGCACTTAATGTTATGGAAGATGTCCATATTGTGTTCCTTGAAGACTAGGGTTTTGGGAACGTGGAGAATAAGTATAAGACATCAAGGGGGTCGTCTGTAGAGAGACAGAGACACGGAGGCTAATCTTATAGAGAGAGAGAAGCTCTTAAGGTGTTCTTGGGTCGTGCTGAAGCAGAGGCTGAAGTACTTGACGGCAGACAGACATAAGTGAGTAGCTTAGGAATCTTTCAGTGACGTGTGTTAGGGTGTTAACACTAGACGTGTAAAGCTGAATAAACAAGGTCTTGTAAAGATTGTTTAAAGAAGATTTGAATAAAGCTATTGGTGTTTTGTCTCTTGGTTTACCTTCTGTACTACCTTATTGTGGTGTCATCTTTGCACTTACAAGTGGTATCAGAGCGGGGCACCTAAGTTACCGGTGTAATCCTGAAGGTGAAGATGGACACGATTGTTACGATGCAGAAGGCAATCATGTTGAATGCGGACCAGTATGGTCATTGGAAGGCCCGCATGAAGCAGATGATTCGAGGAATCAATGAAGATGCGTGGACAGCTGTAGAGATTGGTTGGGAGGAGCCTACCATAGTCACAGGAGATGAGAAGAAGCCTAAGCCAAAAGAGGATTGGTCAGAGGCAGAGCGCAATGCATCAAAATTTAATGCAAAGGCGTTGTCAGTGATTTTTGGAGCCGTTGAAGCAGAGCAGTTCCAGTTGATTCAGGGGAGTACTTCAGCTAAAGATGCGTGGGAGATCCTGCTGAATTCGTTTGAGGGAGATGAGAGTGTCAAAAGGACACGCGTAGATCATCTTGGGTCGCAGTTTGAGAATCTCAGATGGTCGGATGCTGATTCTGTGGCGAGCTTTAGTGCCAAACTCAGTGCTATGGCGCATGAAGCATTTGTTCTTGGGAAGAAGTACAAGGAGAAGAAGCTGGTAAAGAAGTTACTACGCTGTCTTCCAAAGAAGTTTGAAGCTCACAAGGCAGTCCTGCAGATGACTACCAACAAGGATGAGCTCAAGTTTGATAAGGTTGTGGGTATGCTGAAGGCACAAGAGATGGAGACAGATAGTAGTTCAGTCTCTACGTCAAGCGGTGCGCCAGGGAGTATAGCGCTTGCAGCTGACAAAGATGGTGATAGATTCCAGAAGCTTGAAGATACTGTGGGTATGTTGGCTAGGAATTTTGGTAGGAAGATTCATTCTGGTGGCAGAAATCAGTAGGATCGTCAAGGAGGTGATCGTGACAATGGTAGAAGAAGAGACTTTATCAAGTGCTACGAGTGTGAAGGAGTTGGTCATGTGAAGGCTGACTGTCCTATGGCACAACGAAAGGAACTTAAGTGTTCTGAGTGCAGAGGTGTTGGACACACAAGGCGCGAATGTCCAAACTCAAAGAAAGGAAAAGGAGCTCAGTCGTCTGATGATTCAGAGTCTGAAGAAGATGACAAGGTGTTGAAGAACATGGTTGCATTTGGTGCACGCAAGAAGGGATCTAGTGAATCCACTGATTCAGATCGCAGTACAGATGATGAGGAGTATCATGTGCTGCTCAACAA